TGAACCTTAAAAAAAAGGCAGAATAAGAACACAATTTTCAATAAAGAGTAGAAAAGGCGTATTGTTCCTAAAGTCAAGGGCAGTCGGTCACACTGCCAAACAAAAGAACTCCATTTCTGGTGAATCAGCCCACTCAGGGGATATCAATAATCAAAACGATGCAGGCCGTGCCGGGCTACAAATGCGATCAAGATTTGATATGACCAGGCACAAAGAGAAAGTGTTGCTAGAATAAAATGTGTAGGGTCTTAAAGATGAATCCTAGATGATAGAAGTTATGTAATGTTGAGTTTTCAGCTATAGTTCCTGGGGAATCATTCAGAGCCATAAGGTGGGGAATGTGATAATTCTTCTGAGGAGCTGCAGCTGCTGAAATACAGACATATGGAATTTTACCTTGTTCTAGTCCAATATGGGAACAATCTCAGAATGTAAGAAACTCTACGGCTTCAAATGGCTCTTAACGTTAGAGAGAGGATGTTGTATAGACAGGCCCATTAAATCGTATTGTTTTGGTTTTGCATTTTGTATCTGGATTCCTGTAGACCTGGTAGGAGTCTTACTGTGTTCTGTGCTGAATCCACCAACACTGAATGCAATAAACACAGTTATAGTTTTGACTGTGAAAACCCAGAGATGCAATTTGTACTGATAGTGAAATTGATATTGCTGAAAACAGAGATTTGCTGTTGACAGCATGAAAACCACTTGTGATGTAATATCATGAGAAACTTACTAATCGACTAGTTCTTACCCCTGCCCTGTCCCCGCCATCCAGTCAGTTCTGACCCACAGCCACTCGTGGAGCGGCTGGTGAATTTGAACCATTGACTTTGCGGTGTGCTGCCCAATGCTTATGCCACCATGCCACCGGGGCTTCAAAACAATATCTGACAGTTACTACATCTAAATGGATTTCCTGGATTGGGTTGGAAAATAGCAACTTCCTTCCCCTTTCTTTTCTTCACTTTGTGTCCATATATTGTGTTCCGTTAGAGATTCAGGTGACCTGTTCCCATCAAAGACTAAAGTCCCGAGTGACAGTCATAATGCTACATCTTAGGAACAGGGTGGTGAATGAAATATGAGCTCTGGAATTCACTTTGGTTCATATCAAGGGTCAGCTCACCACGTACTGCAGGGTTCAGGTATGAGTGGACAGGGAATGAACAAAGGAAAGTGTGTGAAATGAGGCATCTGACCCCACCGCTTAGTGGCACCCATGCTGGCTTTGGCAGAGGCAGATTTGGGGATGGGGGTGGGGTTGTATTTTTTTTTCCTGGTATAATGGCTAATATGCTCAGCAGCTAACAGAAAGATTAGAGGTTTGAGTCCACGCAGAGACATCTCAGCAGGAAGGCCTGGTCAGCTACTTCTGAAAATTCAGCCCTGAGACCGCCGTGGAGCACAGTCCGGCTCTGATGCACGAGGTTGCCGCGGGTCAGAATCGACCCGATGGCAACTGACTGGGCTTATTTGTCTTCGATTATTCTGAAAATCGGAGTTGAGGGCCCTTAAAAATTACATTTGCTTTTCTCTCTTCTGTTTCTGATTAGAAAAATGAGACAGGATCTTTGGAAGAACATTTGTAAAATACTGAGTAAAGTGTAATGAAGAAAAGAATTATCTTTCATGCTAGTGCCAGGGATAATTACAAGTAACTTGATATATTTATTTCCAGTTTAAACAGCTTTATGCTTTCTAAAAACCTTTTGGTGTTTTCCAACTTAAATGATCTTGATCTTGGTCCCATGATGTCGTGTATTTCCACAAAATACTTTCCGTGGCTGCAGCAGTATTCCTTATTATAAAACCAAACCCACCTCATCCCCTGGCCAGCGGATCGATTCCAGCTCATAGGGACCCGATTGAACTGCTCTGTTCATTGACCCGCTCCTGAGGGTCTCTGAGTTGTACCCTTTAGGGAGGCAAACAGTCGTAGTTTCTTCCTTTGGAGCAGCTTGTGGGTTTGAACTGCCAACCTTCTGGTTAGTAGCAGAATACTTAACCATTTTAACACCACAATTCTTTTAACCAGTCCTCTACAGCTGGGTAGCTGTGTGATGCCACTGTTTCTTCACTTTAAACAATGGTGGTATAAAATTGCACGTATTCACCAGATATTCTTTTTAGTAAGTCCCAGAAATAAGACTTCCAAGAAATAAGATTGCCAAATTCTGCACATTTAAAAGGCCTTTGACACACATAACCAAATAGCTACATTTATTTTAACACCCATCGTGCCGAACTGCTTTAGTAATGATTTGTCTTTAAAAAGTTTCTAGCTCTGCCTTGAATTTATTGTCTACTTTAAATTTGAAACTTCGGAATATGTATTGAATTTGGAGAAGAAAAATAGCACCATCATTCCGGAAACAAAGTATACCAAAATGCAAATGTATTAAGGGAAAGAAAAACCAAAAGCAAATACAAACTAAACCCACTGCCGTGCGGTCGATGACAACCCAAGAAGGAAAAGAAAAAGCCCAAAGGACTAGCAGCCCATGTCATTCCACAGTGTTCACTAACACGAGAGACTCTGACATTTGTCAAGGCAAGTCACTAGATTTCCAAAACTGGGCATGCGGCCTCCAGACCTGTCTTCCAGTGTTGTTAGGTGCCACCGAGTCGGCTCCAACCCACAGTGACCCTATGCACAACAGAATGAAACACTGCCTAGCCCTGCACCAGCCCCACAATTGTTCCTCTTTTAAGCTGCCCCGCAACTTTACCAAATGTGATGTCTTTCTCCAGGGCCTGGTCTTTCCTGACAATATGTGCAAAGTTCGTAAGACGAAGTCTTGCCATCCTTGCGTCTAAGGAGCATTCTGGCCTTACTTCTTGTAGTACAGGTCGGTTTGCCCTTTGAGCACTCCATGTACTTTCAATTTTTATTTTCTCCAGCGCCACAATTCAAATGCATGGATTCTTCTCCGGTCTTCCTTATTCCGTGTCCAACTTTTATATGCATATGATGCAAGGAGAATACCATGGCTTGGGTCAGACCCACTTTAATCCTCAAAATAGCATCCTTGCTCTTCAATACTCTAAAGAGGTCTGTGCAGCAGATTTACCGAATTCAACTCATCTTTTTATCTCTTGATGGCTGCTTCCATGAGCACTGATTGTAGATCCAAATAAGACAAAATCTTTGAAAATTTCAACTTTTTCTCTATTTATCATGATGTTACCTATTGGTCTGTTTGTGAGGATTTGGGTCTTCCTTATATTGAGTTATAATCGTTATTGAAGTCTACAATCCTTGATTTTCATCAGCAAGTGCTTCAAGTCCTCCTGACTTTCAGCAAGGAAGCTTGTGTCATCTGCATACCACAGGTGATAAGCCTTCCTCCAGTTCTCATGCCCCATTCTTCTTCATATAATTCACCTTCTTCGATGATTTGCTTAGCATATAGATTGAACAAGTATGGTAAGAAGATTCAGCTCTTATGCACACCTTTCCTGACTTGAAACCATGCAGTAGTCCCTTGTTCTGTTCTTGATCCATGTACAAGTTCCAAATGTGCACAATGATGTGTTCTGGAACTCCAATTCTTCTCAAGGTTATCCACAGTTTATTATGGCCACACAGTCAAAATGCCTTTGTATAGTCAATGACACACAAGTAAACATCTTTCTGGTATGTTCTGCTTTGAGCCAAGCTCCATCTGACCTCAGCTATGAGATCCCTTGTTCCATGTCCTCTTCAGAATCTGGCATGAACTTCTGGCATTTCTCTGTCAATGTACTGTTGTAACCATTGTTGGATGATGTTAAGCAAAATTTTACTTGTGTAAAATATCAATGATATTGTTCCACAGTTTGAGCATTTTGTTTGGTCACCTTTCTTTGGAACGGGCACAAATATGACTCTCTTCTAGTCATTTGGCCAAGTCACTGTCTTGCGAATGTCCTGGCATTGATGATTGAGGGCTTCCAGTGGGTCCTTAGCTTTCTGAAACACTTCTATGGGTACTCCATCGATGCCTGAAACGTGTTCTTCCAGTGTGGGTCCCTTAGTGGTCTGAATTTGTACTATAACATTCTTTGCCTTTCATAGAGGCCCGTATTAGATTGAGACTTTACTGCTCTGTTTATTCACTGAATAGCGCTTCATGTTGCAATGCGTTTCAGTCATGAAGGATGTATTTCTGTTTGGTATTTTCCCCTTACATGAGTTGTGTCATTTCTGAGGCCACTCTTGTCCCCTGAACAACAGGTGCTTTATTCTGCAAGCACCATGGAGGATTTTCTCCTGTTGGACTGCTAACCTCAAGGTCAGCAGTTCGAAATCACTAGCTGTTCCTTTGGAGAAAGACAGGGTTTCTACTCCCTTAAAGAGTAACAGGCCCAGAAGCTCACAAGGGAAGTCCTTGCTTTTCCTGTAGGGTTGCTATGAATCAAAATTGATCGATCGCAGTGTGCTTTGTTTTGTTTTGTTTCCTCTGGCCTGGCAGCATGGCAACCCTACTAGCCACTCAATGAGAGAAAGAAGGGGCTGTCTGCTCCCATAAAGATTTACAGCCTCATAAACCATTTAAGAGGAGCCCTGGTGGCTTAGTGGCTAAGCGTTGGGCTGCAATGTGCAGGGTCGGCCATTCAAAAGCAACAGCTCTGTGGGAGACAGACTAGTCTTTCTACTTGCATGAACAGGTCCAGTCTCAGAGACCCACAGGGGGGATGCTATGAGTTGGCATCCACTCCATGGCAGTGAGAAAGCATCGAAGGAACTCGCTGTGAGTCGGATTCTATAGCAGTGGGTTTCCGTTTGGGTTGGGATTTTTGGGCAAGCGCTTTGTATGAAATCTAGGTAACTCGTGGTGCACGTGGCACACGTGCTACAGGCAAATGAGCGACTGTCAAATTGCAGGTTTTTGGAAATCCATGTGTGTGACAGCAAGGGATGCTTTTCTTTATTGCGATTTCTTTCTTTCTTCTAATTTGAAAATGGAAACAAAGCCCACAGTGCTCTGACGCCTTGTCTCTGCCCTCCCCTGCAGGGCTCTGCGGAGGTGGCCAGCGCTTTCTGTGTGCCAGCGGCATCTGTGTCTCCAGGAACCTGCAGTGTAACGGCTACAATGACTGCGGGGACTGGAGCGACGAGGCTCACTGCAGTAAGTGACAGCAACCGGGCTGGTCTGTGTGGATGGGGGTCCTATTCAGGTGCCCAGAGACCAAAGTCATTCCCACATGACAGCCTTCTGGCACTCACACGGCTGGCTTTAGGCATGCCTGTCTAAAGTGAGTGCATTCGTTTGTCTGCTTTATTTATGCTTCCTCCCAACCTGGAGCTTGTCAACGGCAGACCAGACTGTGTTAAATTCCTCCCATTGGTAAGCTCAGCCTTAAACACCCCTCTGTACTTCCTGCCTTGATTTCAGTTAGTTATTTTGACTTTCTTAGCCGGTGGTCTGTTTGCTATGAATTCAGACTCCATGTTATTTTGCACCTGATTAAAGGGGGAAAATTGGTCTCGAGACTATTTTGTATGCTCTGTACCCAAAAGAGAACCATATGCAATTTTGTCCTAATTGCTTTTTAATGGTTATATAACCAGCAGGAGTTACTATGGGGAGAGCTGTGTTATACTCCGGGCCACAGTTGCCAAGGCTTAAGAACTCACAGTGGCTGATCCCCCACCCCCTCCTCAGAAAGAGCTGTCCGTGAGACAGGTGCAGCGAGGCCTCTTCATCAGCGACGCTCACTGGTGGTCACTTTTGAAAGGCAGTATATATGGTGGTGACATTTCAGGCCAATGTTTCCAATCTGGCTGCCTACCTTAGCTACTTGAGGTGTGATGGATGCCTGAGAAGAAAATCAGCTTGGGAAATGTGTGATGGATGCCTGAGAAGAAAATCAGCTTGGGAAATGCTTTCTACCAACTCTACATATTAGAGAGGGTACCCAAAATACTGGAATTTTTTCAAAGTTATGTATTTAATTTTTTTTGTTTACAAAGCAACCTTATCACTTTCAAAGGACTCTCCATTACACTGACTACATTTGTCAAATCTGCGATTCCATTCTTGGAAACATTTTCAAACTCATCTATTTGGATGGCTGACAATACCTCCCTCATTTTTTTCTTCACTTCTTCAAAGTCATCAAATTGCTGCCCCTTCATGTCTCTCTGCATTTGCAGAAACAAAGAGAAGTCACAAAGAGCAAGGTCAGGTGAATCATGTGCGGCACAAGAGGAATACTGTTTTTTGTTAAAAACTGGTGGACTGAGATGGCTGCATGGTGGCAAAACCAGTCTCCTATCTGCCACAAACCAGGCCTTTTTGTCGCACACTGTTACACAACCTTTCCAGAACCTCCGAATAGAAAGCTTGAGTAACAGTCTGACCTGGTGGAATGAACTCCAAATGCACAGTGAGTCCATATTTTCATCTGTTTGGGAAGTTGATGGATGTCCAGAACAAGAAAATTACTGATAAGCTTGAGTTTTTCCCATAGTGCTATACTTGTAAGCTGTCTTCAACATCACAACAGTTTCTGCAGCAGTTTTCCTGAGCAGGAAACAAAATTTCACAGCCACATGTTGTTCTCTGAAATCGATCATCACAAAAAACGAGGTTACAGCAAAATTGTTTTTATGAAAAAATTCACTGTGACCAGAGAGAACTTTCCCAGGTGACACCACTGGGTGCACTAACTCAGAGCAAGTTGTTCCATGCTTGCCTAGTGGGGAAATTGTGCACTACGAAGGCTCCACTCAGCCTAGCACAATTCTGGTTTTTGGGGGGTACCTACTAGTAATTGAGAGAAAGGTTGGGCTTCCTATTCCTGTAGAGTTAAAGTCTCAGAAATCCGCAGGAGCGGTGCTACCCTGACCTCGAGAGTCACCATGAGTCGGCATTGACTTGATGGCAGTGAGAGTGAGATACATAACGAAGGATTCTGAAAAAAGCCCAAAAAACAACAACAAAAGCTTTGTTAATTTTGTTTCGCTGGATATTTCCTCAAAATTACTTATTCATAGGACCCCTGCCCGATTTATCTTTCTCTCTCCTCTTCCTCTTTTCCCTCTTCTCCCTTCCTTCCTCTGTTCCTGTGTTCCTTCTGTTTTGCATGTCTAGTGTCCTGTGCAACTTTCCTTAGGCCGCCCGTCTTTTAGGAAATGTTATTTTCAGCACCTTGTTTGTAATTTGGAATTCCCTTTTCAGAAAAACCGTTGGAATACTATTTGATATATTAAAAAGAACATTTTCCTAAGATTCCTGCTTACATTAGGGAGTCTTACTGGGGACTCGGGAGCCCTGGTGGTGCAGGGGTTAAAGTCCTCGACTGCTGGCTGGACAGCTGGCCGTGGGAGCGCACCAGTCACGTGACGAGAGGAAACTGGCAGTCGCCTTCCATAAGATTTAGGCCTTGGACACCGACTCTGTCCTGTCGGGCTGCTGCGGTTGGAATCGGCTCAATGGCAGTGGGGTGCTGGGGAATTAGCAAGCTCTTGCGGTTGAGAGGTTGAGGAGGTGATAAAGCAGCACAAGGGCTTTCCTTACGAACAAGCCTCGCAAAAGGACCTGGTTTGGTCAGTCGAGGAGATCAATCCTGTCAGAATCCTTCTCTCCACAGTGCTTTGCAAATGTTTCTGAGATATGGAAGTCTTTCGGGCCACCTCTTCTAGTGTGATAAAGCCCTTGGCTTCTGAGCTTGACCATTCTGGGCCTGTGGCATTTCAGTGTTCAGGTGTACCACAGGTGCCACACTCCCATTACACTCCTGTTGTCACCTCCCCATGGGGAAGGCACAGTATAAGTCTGAATTAGGACTTGTGTACAAATCAGAGTGTGAACACAACCCACTTCTGTGCTCTTAAGACAAGGAGCAGAAGAAACTACAGCTTCCCAAAGATTCTGGCGGGCAGCTGGGGCCTGCCGAAGCTAGGGACTCCATCTGTTTGAATGCAGTAGTAGATTGTACTCTAAACAAAGTCCTTAAGATGAAGTCTTGGCTACTCCTTAGAAGCAAGGATGGCTTGAATTGGTCTGGTGTAGTTTGGACACGTACTTTGGACATGTAGTAAATGTTTTTGAAGTCTTACTTATTGTGAAGTTTGTTCTAGATACTTAGCAAATAGAAAGACTGGCCAGGTGTAACTTGGGAAATGCTTTTGGGACCACCAGGAAGCTTTTGGGTTCACCAAAGAAATAAGACATAAACCTGGAAACCATTCCAGTCAGGGTTTGTGTGTGTGTGTGATAAACAAGACAGAACAATGTAGCAGAAGAGATATCACAAAGGAAGACATGATTGTTGTAAGCAAGCAAAATCAAAGGCCGGAAGTGCTGTGAGGAGAGAGGCAGGACCACCTGCCGGAGGGTGGGCTTGGGTGGGAAGAACAGGTGGGAAAGAAAGGATGAAAGCTAGATCTTTCAGTGAGGCCATTTTTTATATCTTCCAGAATAGTGGTTCTCAGCAGGGGGCAGTCTTGGCATTTTGCGATGTATGGAGCTATTTCTTGGTGGTCACATCTATATGTATGTGTGTTTGGGGGTGGGGGGTGGGGGGGCTCATATTGGCAACTAGAGGCCAGAGGCCAGGGGGCTGCTAACCATTCTGCCCTGCTCAGGACAACCCCTTATGCAAAACCAAACCAATCTCACTGCCATTGAGTTGATGCGGAGTCATAGCGAGCCTACAGGACAGGGTAGACCTACCGCTGGGAATTTCTCAGACTGCAACTCTTTCCCTAAATGGAAAGCCTCATCTTTCTCCAGCAGATAGCTGGGTGGTTTTGAACTTCAGACCTGATGGTTAGCAGGTGGCATAATTGTCATTCCACCAGGGCTCCTCAGCTCCGCACGACCCAGGCTTCAGTGTTAGTAGTTGATAAACTGCTCTGAAGCGAGATGTCAGTAATAGAAAGACTGCAGGCGTCCAGAAGGCTGCCTTCTTCTTTTGGCTCAGCTTAGTAACAAGCTGGGCAGCTCGGCCAAGTCCTTTAAACTCTCCCAAACCCCCCCCAATACCAATTCACTGCCACTAAGTAGATTCCAGCTCATGACAATCCTGTAGAACACAGTAGAAGAGTGGTTCTCAACCTGTGGGTCGCAACCACTTTGGAGGGTCGAATGATCCTTTCACAGGGGTCGGCCTGATTCATAACAGTAGCAAAATAATAGTGATGAAGTAGCAACAAAAATACTTTTATGGTTGTGGGGGGGGGTCACCACCACACAAGGAACTGTATTAAAGGGTTGCGGCATTAGGAAGGTTGAGAACCACCGTAGTAGAACCACCCTTGTGGATTTCCGAGGCTGTACCTCTTTTGGGAAGAAGAAATCCTTATCTTTCTCTGGAGGAAGAGCTGATGGTTGAACTGTGGATCTTTCGGCTAGCAGCCCAATAGACTCTGGCGCCAGGGCCCCCTGGTGGCCTGTAAAGTGGCACGCCTGCTGTTGGGTCCCCTCCTTCATTAACCTGCTGTAGGTGGAAGTTGGGCCTCCCAACTCAAATCATGAGTTCAGGTTTATTTCTGAATTTGTGTTCATGATGAATCTATGTTTGAACCATTTATATTCACAGTCACAGAACTTGGGTGAATTGAACGAAGCCCTTGATAAAAGGCTTTCTGTTTCTTCGTGTTCTGCTTGGGGTAAAGGACAATTTGGGGGACCCACGAGAGGGGTGTGTCTGTGAGATCCCAATCAGAAGTGAACAAGTATTAACTTGCAAGGACATCAGAAGTCACATTCTGCAGCAACAACTCATTAAGAAAGAAAACAAACCAGATAGTATCCAGGAAAACATCTACCTTGGGTCATGCAAAATTATCTTTGTATTGAGTAAGAAAATCACAGCAGGCGGCTTTTGAAATGTTTGATTTGCTGGCCCCAAATTGCGCTGACAACATCTCTTTTTAGTTCAAATAAACACTTATTCCAATAAAAGGGCCCACTGTGGTTGTTGCTATTTGCTCTGTGCTTCTGGCTGTGCTGGGCCTCTGGTGAAGGCTTGTGTATTTTCTGATTCCGTAGTGCTTAGTCTGGTAACAAGTTGTTTTCCACATGCAGCTAATTTCGACTCTGACCTCTGAAAATGGCTTTTAAGCACACAACAGCGGAAAGTTGAGTGTGTACCTGGGTGAATAATGAGGACTTTTTAAGATGCCTGAGTCACCTCCATTTAAGAAACTGTTTAATAAATAACAACATCAATTGGACAAATAGTTCCCAACAAGATACTTTACTAGGAGTTCCCTGGAACTCCAGAATGAACCTCACAGAGGCTGTGTGTGCATCTTTTATAAATGTTGCTGTGCTTTTGGGTTAATCAGAGTCTAAAAGGGGTATTCGATTCTGTTAGTCCATGTTGACTGGAGAAACTAATCCAGAGACACTCATGTGTGTATAGGAAAGAGCTTTATAAACAAGAGCAATTGAATATTGAGGAAACATCCCAGTCCAGTCCAGATTAAGTCTAATATTAGCTCATACATCCCATACCAATCTATAAAATCCTCTTCAGACTCATGCAACACATGCAATGACACCGAATGCAGGAAGATCACAGGCCAGTGGGCGGAAAATCTTGTGGATCCAGTGGTGGTAGAAGCATCTCAGCACTGGCAGGGGTCTCCACGTGGCTCCTCCAGCTCCTGGGCTCTGGCTGCATCAGCATGGCTCCATCAGGCTCTTCATCAGTAATGACTCATAGGGAGTGAGTGGGTGTCCCACCTCCAGTGAGCTATTAATCTCCTTAGCGTCTCCAAATGAGGTCATCAAGCTGTGACCTGATTGACAGGCTAACCTCCACCCCTTCACTCTCAAGTTTCCAATTGACAGCAGTATGTCACTACCTCAGATTCTCCAGCCCAGGTGAGTCAGTTCCAACTCAGAAGGAAACCCTGCCTGGTCTTGCCCCATCCTCACAATTTGTCTCTTGAACAAAGAATGAATGAATGAAATTGAATTAGAAATGCATGATTCGTGTAAATAACAAATGCACTAATGTGAAGTAGTTAACAGTTTAATTGACCAATGCCCAATATATATATATATATAT